TTCCATTTCCATTTCCATTTCCATTTCCATTTCCATTTCCATTTCCATTTCCATTTCCATTTCCATTTCCATTTCCATTCCCCTTTCCTTCTTCTGTCGCTCTTCCTCTTCCCTTCTTTGCCAGGTGAGGTGTAGACTGAGCCGGTTGATTCATCTTCCGCCTATCTATCCGTCTGTCTATCGATATGCGAATAAAATTCTGTCGATGTGATATGAATCTGGGATACTAATGATGCTCTCCGGTGAGTAAGAATACGATGCTGTATTAATATGAATCTAAAATAATAATGCTCGACCTTGCTTGCGTCGCTTTAATATATCAGTATGCAGTGCGGTGCCGCGGTGTGGTATGATGTGGTGTGCGTATGTCGAGTCGAGGAATCAGTCAGCAGTGAAGGAATCTATCGGCCTTCTCTACCCTTTATACATCCATCCTTCTAAAACCAGCTCGGCGTTGCAGAAAATTTCACACGTAGATGATGAATGAATGAATGAATGAAAGGAAGTGAATACGCTTCGTACTGCAATGCACTGACGTACTGTTTGTTCTGTTACCGAGCAAGCAGGCAAACTAGGCAGTTTGATGTACCGTGTGATATGACTGTTAAACTCACATGAAATGATTGAATGTCACGGAAACCCACTATTACATGCAGACAGGCAGTGTGGCAGGGAGGCGACAGAGAAAGAGGAACTCACTGGATATGGAATGAAAAGTGATCGCCCACACCACGCCATGAGAGTGAGATCATCGATCGAGATATATGAATAAATCATATTCGTAATGCAAGTTCAACTTTCCGCGCGCCAGCTAAAAGCACATAAAACCCAAAGAAAGAAAAGCATGAAACATAATGCCACAGAACAACCATCCATCCTTCGAGTACGATATGTATCCGATGCAGTCTAGGTCAGAATGAAGGCATATAACTTATCTCCATCTATCCAGGTCAGATTCACAGTCTCGAATCCCTTCCTTTCCTTCGGCGTATACGTAGAAGAGCTTTCGCGCAACCGGCCTAGTTCACATAACAGCACAACCCCCGGTACCGGTACCACCACCACGACCACCAAGTTGATTACCGTCATCTCCATCCATGTTATCGGCAGCAGTATCATTGCCAGATTGGGTATCGGGGTTGCCCTGTGGCCACATGAATTCCATCATCTCATCGAATGCAGCGCAAGTCCAGTGACTGTCCATTTGAACCAACTCCAGCTCATGCCTCTTCTCCAAGACTGCAACATCAACCGCGAGCTTCGTAGCCTGCTGTTCGAGATGGGCGGATGCTGCAAGGACAGATACGATTTGTTCAATGGTATCGATCTTGGCCTTGGTCTTGTTGGCGGTATCCTGTAAGTTCACAGTTAGTATTGCAGAACCCGGATAGATCGAGGGACAATTCCATGTCTCGAAACTTCTGAGGCACGATAAATAAATCAGAGAATTTAGAGAAGTACATACCTTGAACAACTTGGCCTGAACCTCGAGGATCTTGACATCGGCTTGGGACACGTTGCTCATATTCGTAATGGAAGGCAGCTTCTCAAGAACAACGAACTTGGTACGATACATATCCTGCCAATTCCAGGCGAGTCTCTTCATCAGAACAAGGGTATTGCGCTTCTGCTCTAGCTTCAATGCATCCCAGTCGCGGAAGCACGTACTATGGAGTTGTTCTATAAGTTTTCTAGTTAGCTCCATCTCAGACAGTTATCATAGCAAAGGGGTCTTTACGGATCATGATTCCTCTGTCTAGGAGTGACATCCCTTCGTTTTGCTTGTTAAGGTGATGTTCGATCTGTGACAATGATGCCTTGGTGAGGGATTCCTGCTTGACGAGATCTTCGATTCTACGCTGTTCGGCGTTGATTCGGGAAAGCTGGTTCAACAATGTCGCAGTGTTGGCGGAGCTTTCAAAGGCAAGCTTGCTGATACTCTCTTGAATCTGGTTGAACTGCTTATCAAAGCGAGTCTCAACCCTTTCAATGTGTTGGTCGAGTATACTCTCGAAGATCTCCAAAGATAAATGGGTGACGGGTTGTTGAAGAAGTCTGGTTTCGATCTTTGAGAGACGTTGCTCGATGAGATCTTCGATCTTTTTGAAGGCTTGATTGTCCTGCTGGTACTGCGAATATGTCAGCTTGACTTCAGGAGAATATGCTACATTATGTGAGAGATTATCAAAGCGAAAGCTCTGGAAAAGACAGTAAATAATCGTAGTAATCTTACTAGAAATGTCTCGATCCTGTCTAGACGTTCGTGGACGAAAGCTTCTTCAAGATTTGTCGGTTTTGGGTTGGATGTTGAAGGACTATATCGAAAGGGTTCTCCGAGTATGGGAGAAGAGATTAGTTTGCTAGAATCTTTGGAAGTGTCGGAAGAATTTGAACCATGACTGGAACATCTGGCCCGACGCGGCGGTTCTATTCCATTGTCAGTTTCCATTGTTCAACGAAACAATATAAAATCTCGCATTATGAGTGAATGAGACATACGATTTGGACGGGTGGAAAGAGATCCCCTGTTCCCTGAGACCCTCCGGCTATTTTCCGTCTCAAGCAGAACCTCGACGGAAATCGGGGGAGGAGAAATATACTCCATACTCTCATCACTTCCAGCGGTATCGCTAGCAGCAATAGCCGTAAAAATATCCTTCTGCTTGACCGGACTAAAGCCCTCATCACTATCACTAGCAGCAATAGACGCCAACCCCTCCCTCTGCTTCTCCGGGCTGCTCTCTTCCGAGCCCAACCCCAAAACCCTCACCCCCGTAACAACCTCCCACGCCCTCGCAAACCCCATTCCCAAGTCCACCAACTCGATGGCCTGCGTAATCCACCGTCCCTGCATATCAACCTCCCTGCCGCCCCACGCTACGAGAATAGCATGCATGCAATCCTTCTTCTCCTCGAGCACCACACTCCCCTTGATCTCCCCCGCATCCTCCAGCATACACCAAGCCCTCACAATCTCCTTATTAGCGTCCAGAAAAAGCTTGAAATCTACCGACGCGGAGTTCGGACTCGATGCCACGTTGATGTTTTTGTGGAACGTTACGATCTTCCCAATGCACTCGCAGATGATGGACTCGGGGCCCTTGGATGTCGCGTGCCAGGAGGGGAGCCGCGCTTTGTGGTTCCGGAGAGGGTGTGGGCGAGTGTTGCTTGTTCGGCGTTGGTGAGGGATGGAGGGGCCGCTTTTCATGAAACCCAGACCCAAACCAGAGGAGGACGATTCAGAGGTGGAGGAGAGATCATGTTGCTCCTCTCCTGTTTTGATGGTTGTTGGAAGAGAAAGGCGAGCGCGGCGTTCTGGAGTAGGTGTTGTATGTCGTGGAGTGATTGGCGTATTGTATTTGAGAGAGGATTTCGGACACTCTGGTGTAATTGGTATTGGTATCTTGTCGACATAGCCAGCAGAGCTACGTCGCTCAACGAATGTATTCCGCTCTCCCATCATCTTCGTGACCAGATCCGAGTCTTCCACACGCCCAGCGTCAACAATGGCATCCATCTCTTTGGGCTTGATATTCTCTTTCTTGCTGTCCATAATTACAATACTGCTACTTGGGTGCGTGATACTGTTAGCGACGTGGAGTGTTGTTGTAGATGCAGTAACGATCATAGTTGTCGTAGTCAAGGGAAGTTGCAATGCAAAGGGCAAGGACAGGAACGAACGGTAGAAGATTTTCTTCATCTCATTGACTTCAATTGAATAGGCACTTGCATCTAAACATAAATCACGCTACGTGGAGCCTTGCTCCTTATAAATATCAACATCAGATTTACCCGCAGTCAATTCACCTGTTAAGAAAAGGGGACACGGAAAATTCCTCTTATTGTCATTTTCGTCAATCAAGCCTTACGGCTCTGTGCACCTAAGGTCTAACGTACAATATCCCTTCTCCTTCTCCAAAAGGGGGGACAATTCTAGGCAAGCGCTTCCTATCTACAATCTCTTCGCTCCAGGTCCAAGCAGCAAATTAACTCAAGGAAATTCGTTGATGACTGGTACAATTAAGCACAAAGAAACGGCCCGTCTGGGCTTCGGTGGAGTAATAAACAGAATGAAAAAACGCTGTGTAAGCAAATCGCTGGAGAATGGTATCATGATGCCCCCCTCCCTCTTAATTCCACTTCTAGCCCCCCCATTAGTATTCCTTCATGTCCTTCCCAAGCTTTATTCCCGTGTCAAGGTAGAGTCTATCGTTGATCTCTACCATCGCTTAATTCCTGAATATGGACTATTTTTCATTCATCGGAGCCGGGCTTGCTGTTGTGGGAAGTGGCGGTAGGACCTTATCCAGACTCTGCCTGCTCACTTGTTTCCTCAACCCATACCCGTTTCCAATGGGACTATAGTCTTTCGCTGGTGTCACTGGCCTGCCATCTGCAGTAACCTTCGCTGGTGTCATGGGCCTGCCATCTGCAGTAAGCTTCGCCGGTGTCATGGGCCTTATGTCACCATTCGAGTCTCGGTCTTGACTATGCGCACTACGACCACCTGTACTACTCGCCTCCCCAAGCTCTTCAACTACTGGTAGTGTTTGTCCCTGCATGCCATTCGTCCGCTCTGCACTAGGGCTACGGACAATTGCTATTGTCCTGGGGTCTGGTCTATCTGCTTCATCTTCACCATGCTTCTCCCCTTTCAATGCATCGTTCGAGTTTCTTTGGATAGTTGAATTATTCGGGCTTGTTCTATGCATGTGATGGTTTCCTGATCTTCGTGTGGAGTCGAGTGACGATGTATTGCGGTTAGAGATTGGATTGGAATTGGTGTGTGGTACCGATAGTTGAGATGCTTCACGTGCGACTTCTTCTGGACTTTTGGTAATCCCTTCGATAAACTCGATGAAACGGTCACCATAAGGTTCAGGTCGGACAGGCGAGATGAGCCTTTTGTCATGACTGAGTCCTTCTGTTGAATTGTCAGCATTCTTCTACTTGAGAATATGAGTAAGGGGTAACGAACTCCAAAAGTGCTCCAGTTTCTTGACCGTCCCATAGTGAGTGAGACAATCAATAATGGACAAGAAGAAAATCTCGTCACCTGGAGTATTATCCTCATGAGTAGCCCTAAACCCTCCATCATCACTGTAGAATATAAAGTCACGCTTAGTGGTATTTTCTTCCATGGTATCCGGCATCCGAGAACTGCTTTGCCCCATTGGAATCGGCTTCTCCTGCTTGACCATTTGCCTCAATTCCCTTGCTTTTCTGGCAGTCTCAAGTTTGCTCGGTGTTCGCGTCAAGGGGCCTGGGCCAGAGGGTCCTACATCATCCGACGGACTGTCTCCTCCCGGTTGAAACACTTGCAGAGTCTTGTCACGCAGATTCTCCTGGTTGCCCTTTTGGAGATCGTGTATCCCAACAAGCATGCTATAATCCATAATTTTTAGCTTCTGCAGGAGATGCACATCTCTTTCCATCTGCTCGAAGAATATTCGTTTCTTTTCTGATCCAAATTCAAGGTGCAGGTCTCGTCGAAGCCAGTTAAGGTCTTTTAGGGTAGCACGTGGATTCTTTTCGAGATCTTCCTCCTTGAAATCCCTTCCAATTGTGGAGCCCTTCAGATCAAAGGTTTGGTGGATATCTCGGTGGGGTGGGAATAAATTGTTCATGACAACGAAGTGGATCTTTCGCCCATATGGTATTTTGACCCGGTGAAGACCATAAAATTGTGAAAGGAGCGTATTGGGGTTCTGTTCAACGTGGGAATAGTATTCCTTTAAGATTTTTCGCAGGAACTTGTGCTCGGCGTGGTGGATAGTTTTGATGATGTACTTGTAATCTCGAGAGAAGTAAAAGAAGCTTCCACTCTTTCCCGGTGACCCAAGTTCGGAGAGAATGTACTTGCTCGTCAATGACATGAGATAATCGGCCGGATCAAGCTTGAATTTGGCTCGTAGATGTCGAAACACCCACGGGGCATAATCCTTGAACTTAAAGTCGTATTTGGCAGAAGGGGTCAACTCATTCCCAGTACTACTCATGTCAGTTCTTTCTTCTCGAAAGTCTTGCCATATTACTCACATATCAAACGAGAACTTGTGCTTGGCATCAAAATCCGCATCCGTCAATGCCCTGTCTAACTTTGCATTTGTTCTCGAGACAGTAAATCGAATCCCGGTCAACATGTTATATGCAGTCACCCAGTTTACATGGTGTTGATCAACCTTCGTCCCTACAACCACTCTATCATCGTCCTCTTCGTCTTTCTTCCTTCTCTTGCTCGCTCTCTTCTGCCGCACTGCTTCCGCCCACCGCAATGCATCTCCGTCTGGTGCTACGTCGTCGTGAGGTATATTTGAGTGTATCGACTGTGTGTTCCTTCGATTGAGGTTTAGAGAGCCTCGTCTTACGCCTGTCGCTAGAGCCGTAGGTGAGAACCTTCCAGTGCTGTACATCGCGTCATCGCTATCGCGGGAAGGTCGACCTGGGGCAATCTTTGGTACTTGAAGCGTATGTCGATGCTTCAATTGAATTGCTCCTGGATGCGGGTTTAAGCTATTAGATGGTGAAGGAGAAGGAGCGGGATATGATGGAGGAGACGAAAATCGATGGGGTGACGTTGTAGCAGACCTCGACGGCGTTGCGGGGGCTGATGGGTTTACTGGTAATAAAGAGTTGGCATAGGTGAGGGGACCTGTACTTTGGGGGTTTGTAGGTATTGGCGGTGGCACAGAGCTTCTCTTGAAAGATTCGACATCTCCGTTTGTGCTCGGCTTGGTTGCAGCCTCGATTGGTGTGCTTGGAGCATTTCCGTTTGCTGATGCGATAGAGTTTCTGTCTCCATTTGACATTCTCGGCAGGCCATTTGGTAGTGTAGATGCCGGGCTTCTCCTCCCATTTTCAGAAACTCCATTGATGCCTCCATTCACTGACAATGTACTACCATTGCGAGAAGACCTGTGGTCCCAACTACTCACACTCATCCGTCCGTTTGCCATGGAGCTTAAGCTGTCCTCGGGCAGGAAGTCCCCATTCATCTGTGGCCGACTGCTGCTCCCACCATCGAAATATGAGTTCGAAGCCTCTCCCACGCTGCCATTCATCGAAGTATGCGAGGATGATTTGGGGTTCCCATTGACCTTCTCGTAGGATCGACCGGAATAACGGGGAGGCTCGTAAAAAGGGCTGTTCGTAGAGATTGAGTGTCCTGTGTCGTCGGACAGGAACGATGGCATCTCGACAGCGTGTGGCATCGGTGGGATTGAGAATGGTCGTGGCGTCACACCAACCTTATCGTGGCAACTGACGTCTGCTGGATGTGCTTTGAAGACGTGGTAGGATCAACAGACTTGGCAGGATCTCTGTGGTTCGCGCGTCGTGGGAGGAGAGAGAGGGTTGCGTCTAGAGCTGAAGGGGTAGATGCTACAGAAAAGATGAAATCCGCATGCCTTCTCACTCATCATCATGAGAGCAAAAGGGGGTGGTGATACGGGTTGGAAGTACGGGGTTGAGCTGGCTGGGGATGCGCAAATGAGTAGTATATTTTAAGTCCGCTTCGGTTGTGACGGTGAAGGGTGTTTGCCCCGGAAATGACGGGGACGGTACCCAATGACGGCGTCTCGCTGGGATTTGCTCAACCCTGATCACCTGAACTTGATTCCACATGCAAATGTAGAATTGGAACTAATTTGTAATTATATCTTCAAAAAGATGTCTAGACCAGAGCCTCTGGCGGGTGCATCTATACAGTACTCTGGGCCATTGCCATTTCCATTGCAGCCTTTGGGGAAAGGCCAAACAGCTTCGGAGTTTACACCTGGTGCACCACCACTCTACTTGGCCGGCCCGCCAAAACGTGGCACGCTTGGGTGAAGCACTTCCACTGAAGTATTATCGCCCTGGTTTTCAGCTCATCTCCTTTATCATTTTCGCTTTTTTCTTTTTGTATCGGAATGACATTACAACATGTTTCCTGCGTATAGTTTTCGCGATTAACATTTTTGATCTGCGTGCTAGGACAAGGTGATATCTCATTTGAGGTGGAGTTCCTCTCTCCAGTTCTGCCAGTTTCACGGAAACCCACCGGAAGGATTATACTGTATCTACTAACGATGGAACCTCATTATGGATTGGTTGAAGGCTTTCCGAAAGCTCTTTATGGAAAAACCTCAGCGCGGAAGTGTCAATTTGTGGAAGTCTTCCTAAATTGCTACCGGTATCTCATGGTGGTACAACATTTCAAATCGTACGCCTTTGGCACAAGTGGTCAAGTTGAACGACGCAAATAATGCTAATATCATCACTATGATGGTTCTCATCCTTTTTATCCAATGCTCCCAGAACAATGCGACCACTGATGCATCTAGGGCTCAAGCCGGACGTCTACCTCGACAGTCCTGGGGCTTGAAGGGAAAGGGACGACGACATTAATCCCTTATATCACATCATCCCACCACTACATACCCTCTTCTTCGCCTTCGGAAATATCGTACGAGCCACCTCGAAAACACCAGAAACCCGAGAAGGAGACAAACCAGCCCGAAACCTACTGCCATCCTACCTCGAGAGCCGCCATCACCAGCACCTTTCCCCACCTCAATCCGCAACGGGCCACTCAAATGCTCCTCGTTGGAAGTCCTCGTACTCAGCTTCAATCGATACGTAATTTTGTCGTCAAGATAATCCGGCACCCTCCACGAATACACCAGAACCCCAACTCTCCGGTACTGGCATGTTTTGTCTGTCATGGCGAAATCAATCACCGAATGGGTATAGTCAGACCTGTCCCAGAATGGCTGAGCGCTTGTGGGAGCTGCGTTGTTGTTAGCATTTCCATCTTTTTCTCCAAGTCTGCTTTGCTTTACGTATGACATTCAGCACTTTATCTTCCTCATCTCCCGCCACGACTAGGTCCATGGTGTAAAGTTCGTCTGAACCGTCATTTTTGTGGGATTGAGGGTCGTTCGCTGTACTGTTGTCTTTGTAGTAAACCCATACGATGGGAGTTCTCGAGCCATGAGGGAAGATGGCTTGCTGGGCGTCGAAAGCTGCTGGTTGAATGAAGTCATTTAGAGATGATGACTTGACGTCGAACTCTCCGAAGAGTTCTGTGACATTGTCGATGAAGATGTTACATTTTCTTGTTTTGATTGACATTTCTGAGACTCTGAAATGGGTGGTCTGATTGGACGCGTGGCCTGTGGGTGGGAGAAGTCCTTGCGCACATGGGAGACATGAGAAAGTATCAAGATTGTTCCCTTGTTTTTCTCTTCAGAACTTCTTGAAAAGTGAGCTGAGGAGTCTGTTATTTTATTCATTTGATTGATTTCTATTATAAGGTCGCAAGGTTCTATCTGTCAATATTTGTAACGACGTAACACGAAGAGGAATAGTAGGCTTATCTCAGCACGAGGCTGAAATGGAACCATATTACATTGTGGCACCAATCAAGAGCCTGGCCTCGGTGAGCGCTAATGTATTTTTATAAAAGCCACTATTTAGTACTAACATACAAAGAAAGTCTAGGCCTGCCGAATTGAATCGAAGTAGCGTATATGTTTCATCCCTTCCTCCTCCACCTCCACGATACAATTCATCGCCCCCATCCTCAACGACTTGACCTCGCCAGAGTGCTGTTGCTGCGATAAGTATCCAGACGGTCCCCAGCGCCACAAAATTCGCTTGGGCTGCCGTTGCAGAGCATGTTGCAGTCAGCATCGGGAGCTGCAAGTGAACCGCTGGCATCAAATGCAGCCTCACCCCCGCAATAGCACTCCCCGCCATACTCGACGCCCATCAACGCCGAAGCATGAGTTGTGCAAAATGCAGCGCACTTCTCAACCGTCATACCAGTGGTGGAATAGTCGACTTCGGTGGCTCCCGACAAAGCTCGGGTACCGTTCCCTTCCGTGTAACAGCCAATTCTGCTGTATGCACCAGCGGTAAGGACATGGGCTGGAGGTGTGGGTGCTGCTCCAGCAGTAGTATAGATACTCAATCTATCACTTGCTCCGCAAGTCTCGGTTGCGTTTCCATCACAAGCAAAGTTGCACTCCGTAGCAGGAGCTGCGACTGCTCCATTTCCAAGAACGTCCGCACACCAGCACTCTCCTCCAAATTCCAATCCGAACAGAGTGTAAGTAGGCGTGCAGAAGGAGGCACATATTTCAATTGTCATGGTAGTGTAATTGGTCGCAGATGCTGCGCCAAGTGCTCGAACACCAGTACCCTCGGTGTAGCAACCGAGGTATGAATATGCTGATGCTTAATGACAGAAGATGTTAGTTTGAGCTCCGTGCGGGCTTTTGATGGCGAGCTTACCTTGACGAACAGAGAGCTTGTCATTTCGAATGCTCATAGCACCGCTCGTAGATGCGAGAAGTCCGAAGATCAAAGCGGAAACAACTGAAGACATGTTGGAGAAGATTGTTCCAGGGATATTCTCAGAAGATTGTCCGGCTGTGTTTGATGCTATGTTGATCTTTGCCTTGAGGGAATTTCCTTCATATACGTCAGGATTATGAGAAACTAAAGCATCGTTCTACCGCCATCACACTTTCGCCGATTCATGCCAATGAATATCGATAGAGACTGATAGTATTGGGTTACCCAAACCAGACACCATACTGTTACATTCCACCGGAATTTGACGATGGCAATGTTCCCTTTTATTTGCTTGCTGCAGTAGGCCGTCAAACTCCATACCTTCTCGCCATACTCAGCCATGCCGAGAGCCTCAATCCTCCTCTTTTGGATTCCCCCGCATGATCGGGACAATAACGACACTCTTTGGACATGCCTTGTACCCGAACCTCGTATCCTGTCAACGAAGCGTTGTGGAAGGTCCTCCGAAAGCAGTAGAATGGGCTCACATGAAAGTATTGTACGAAAGCTGTGAGGCCGAGGCTTTTTCTCCATTACATCCCGTCAGTCTACCCATGTCGTGCAACGTAGGCGCAACTATTCCTCAGCACATAATGCTCGAGATGGACCCGGTCGGTACTGTAAGTAGCGGAGCGCCGTGGACCGGGCCATTTTACTTGTATCGTATCGCCAATGAATGCGACTTTGTTAGGCTGAATTGAAGATATTGGAATCCTGCATTCGAGTTTACGAAAGAGAGAGAAAGAGGAAACCCGGAAGCAAAACGGTCGATTGAGATCTGGCTCGGGCCGTTATAGGGATTTTAGCGCCTGCGACTGCTGCAGGAACTGTCCGTCAATAGTGCATGGCGTGCATGCTGTAGAAACTTTTGTTGTTGCAACATGCAACGTCCCGAGATATCCTTTCCCTCCCTAAAATTTTTCCATGTCCATCAGACCATCTATATTAAGAACCCCTCTTCTGCAGCTATAGCCTAGAGCAATACCCCCACGTGGAGTTACATGGAACGCACGATTCGGTTCTCCTTTCTACCCGTGTACTATACTCGCTGTACATGGTTGATTTACCATCCCGGTCTGGGGTTCCATGGCGCTGGCGTTCTTCTTTGCAGCATCGTGTTACAGTACAGTACAGCTCCAGGGATCGTGCAGACAGGCCTCCCCATACCCTGGAAATCTCACCCACCAGGTCAGAAGAATCTTTCTACACCAGATAGATAAATAGATTTATTTGAGAAGCCAGCAGGCCGTCAACATGACATGTTCAAATCCAGTTGCTGCCTATCGCCTCTCCACTATTGCTCCCAGTCCGGCCTCAGTAGTTCGCTCTTATAGGTACGAGAAGCCGGAAATATAAAACCCCTGATATAACGATTGACAACCACGACGCCGTGGTGAGGAGGGACAGCTAGATTTTTACGTCAAGTCACCAAAACCCTCTCCCTAAACACAAATACCTATCTATTCACGCCGCGGAATAAGGGAGTAAATACTGCGCATTGGCCCATTACATCTACAGCTATGAACGTTCATCCCGAAGCGCGACTTGCTGACTCCGTACTCGGTGCGGTAAGTAAGTGCTACGGTAACAGTTATCCCACTTGTAGCACGAGCTGATGCTATTTATTTTCTTACCTTTGCAGCTGAACTAGAGGCCCATTTTTGAGATTTCGCGTTTGAGTTGTGCTTGGGATTGTTAGGTGTTTGTTTGAACTTGGTGGTAATTAAGATGGCTGGATGGGGTGGTAGATGTTCGTGTTATCCGTTTCTGTTTGGTGTATTTGTATTCCTGCTTGATTATTCACAGTCATACATACATATTTGAGTATTTATTTATTAGCTGTCTAATATCTATCTATAACCTAGATGCTGAAACTCAAGGGCATCTGAAATTTGAATAGCTTGTAGCCTATTCATACGGAGGAACCCATTAAATAGCATTGCGCTCTCTTATAGAATGATACTTCAATGCATTCAAATTAATATTCTTTTAATTGCAACTCACAAGATCAGAATTGTTCACACAAAGATCTGAATTATGTTTTGCGGGAAGAAAGAAGCTTCATTGATTATCTGGAACTCAAATGTAATGTATGTGCATAGCTCTCTTGAGGCTTCTAGAGCTAGCTAGTTTGCTAGTAACGAGTAGCAGTCCATTCCATGGTGTGTCTATTACTCTTGTAAACATATTCCGCCATATCTCCGATGCAGGACAGTAAGGAGCAAGCGAGTTGTTGTCGAAGTGTCGAAGTGTCGAGGTATCAATGTGTCGAAGCAGAACGCAGGCATGGAAAATCGTTAAGAATGCTCAAGGGAACGGGCGAGCTGTCTACATGTGCCGAAGCAAAGTTCGGAGTTGATAAATGAAAGGACGTTGTGTCGAATGGAGATGAGATATGCATGAGCGATGGTGCGTGCTGTGCGGGTCGAATGTCCTGTATTCTGCACTTCTGAAAAGATAAAGCACGGGTGACGGTAAGAGTAGTGAGGGTAAAAGTAGCATCGCAAAAGGGTATGGCATAATCGCATAATCAAAAAGGGGTATCGTAAGTTGTCGCTGAGGTTGCAAAAGTCGAAGTCGCAAAATTGACCAATCAGAAGGCTTGGTTAGCCCCTATCTAAATAGGGGCACTCGCCTGCGTTATTTTCGAGATGCGAATTCACAAGAGACTCTTTTACAGCTTTTTTGAAGATCCACTAGGTATCGCTGAGAGTATGCGAGATGTCCTTGGTCTATTCCCTCGTACAAGGTTGACCGACGACACGATCGACTTGGCGGAGCCCGACGAAGAACTGGACCACAACCTACTGCGAACTCAGCTATCGAAACTCATGAAACCAACGCGGGAACCTTCCCGTTTTGAATCTGACTATGCTTTTGAAATTCTTGGGTCGAGTGGTGTACGGAAGGCTCGGAACTATTTCATGTGGGCGGTCTCGTGGAGGCCGTAGCATGCGAAGGGGCAACTTATTCCCGCAACTATGTCAGAGGATGAGGCAGAGTACTTCCACGACTTCATCTCGGAGACGATGGTTTATGATGTTGAGAAGCGACCGAGTGCCGAGATGACCGCGGGTCACTCTTGGTTTCTAAGGGTCTTCGAAGAGCCATCGCAGGAAGAGCCAGAGATGATGGAATGAGGTAGAATAAAACTACACTGATTAGTACCATTGGACGCGCAGAAAAGCTTGGGATCTAGATAGTCCTTGAACCTTTGTCTAGGCAATGCAATGCAATATAACAATATACATTCGGCCAATTTATTCTGCGCTCCACGTGACTTACTCCCTTCATGACTTCAAATTTGTATATCAACAAGACCTATTGCCTAGACTATCTCTTAATTTAATGATCTTATCCTTCATATATATATAATTTCTCTATATAATAGTCAGTATGAGTTCATGAACACGGATCTTTGAAACACCAAACAACCTCAACTTTCAGCTCTCCACGTGCTGGAATCTCAAGATCTCAAGATCTCAAATCAAACAGCCTTCTAATCTAATATGGTCTCTTTCACTTTCGAGCAACACTTTCCGAGGATTCTGTCGGCAGCCCCCCACCGTATTCATTGTACTTTTCAGCAAGCCTTTTTGCCTTCTCTTTCATGATTCCGCTTATTTCGCTGTCATCAAATAACAGGGATGGGTGCTCCACCCAACTCAACGACATCAGTTTCTGGTGCTGACTGGGATTTCTTGCTGTCGTAGATATCGATCACGAGGCATTCGACGCTGATCGCCATCTCGTAGGTGCCATGCCAAGCTAGAAGCACTATTTGAGGGACGCCGACACTGGAACAATATTAGCATGTAGCGAATATTTTTGAACCGGATGGGAGCTACATACCCCACAGCGTCGAAATACGTATTGGTTTAAAATTATGGTCCAGTAAGATTTCAGTCCCTTTGGCGAGTTCCTGGGCATGCTTGCCCTCCGCCTTGAAGAAGCTCCCCAAATCCAATAACACTGTTAATTCGATGGGACAATGTGATAATTCCTGAACTTGGTTGTAATTCGAGGTGACGATGGTCTTGAGGGATTGGGGCACAGATTGTTGGTCTCACGTTAGCAAGACTAAGCTTGTAGTAGCTCAACCACCGGTACCTATTTTTGTCGGGTCCTGTGCGGCGTACAAGAAGGGGTAATGTAGTCTCTTTTTTTACAGCCTGGAATTCTGAGGCACCTCATCTGTTGTATTGTGATGTATCGCAAGTCGGTTTGGTTTGCCCCTATACGCATATATGCCGCCAGACCTATAGCTCTTGCTCTTGAAGGAAAAGACTTCACCTGGTGAGCTTACCAGGTGAGATGTGCGGGGAAAATCTTCATGTGTCTCTGGCGTTTACTTGATTGACTTTGCAATGGTGAACCAGGTGCATCCACAGATGGCAAGGAACAGCTTTCTGAACTATTAATAAGACCCCCTTGCTGAAATACTATCAGCAAAGCTCCCCATAAAATGCTAAATACTTGAGAAACATCATCCTTGGTATTATTCTGAGCAGGTAATGGTAGGAGTGACGGTGAGCAACTACTATTTCGAAGATAGTTCGGCGAAGTGAGTGTTCGGAAGAAGAAGGTGTCGCCTTATTAGTTGACCTCCCTCAGGGACAGTATTCAATACGCCCATTCTCTCCTTGATCCAAAAAGCATGTGTAGTTTTGTCGTCGGGCATTGCCACAGAGATGAAGTCATCCGCCGACCTAGGAGGGTCTTTTGGATCGAGTCGAATTCTAAGATCTTGAAGCATAGGTTGCTTTTGCTTCATATCAAGCTGAGATAGACGACCGCTAGAATTGACGAAAGTGAACTTGGACCCTGTGGGAGACTGTGCTGCTGCTTGAAACCTGTGGTCTGAGCTAGCGCTTTTGCTCGCGCTCCAAACTTCCGCCCTAAGCTTAGAGTGAACAACATGATATGGTTTGCCAATGAACCCGGCAACGATTGCTCGTTTCACGTGGTTGTCAAAAAACACTGCAGAGAGGCCCAAGTCATTGTTTATCTTTTGGATAAAGTCAGTTCTGATTTTAGCGGACAATTTTTTTGGAGACACTTACAACTGATACTGAATCCAATAACCTTCGCCAATCGTTCTTAGAATCTAGTTCATCATGAAAGTTCAACTCGACGCTTCCCTGAGAACCAAGCGTTTTGCGAGTTGCTACAATTAGTTTTGTTCCATCGCGGCTAAAGTTGAGTCTTTGACTATTGAAGTGTGACCTTGGATTTGTATCTAGAGGCTGTCGTATTGTGGGAAGTGCTTTATTTCCGGCACCGATATCGTAAACAAGGAAGCAGTGATCAAATCCAACAGCAACTGATTCGCCTTGGCTCGAAATCGCTAGACTCCTCACTGTACCCTCTTCTCTCAACTGTATGTCTAGTATGGCGGCGCTGCCGGGTTCCGAGAAGACTGACAGCCTAGAGGTCTTTGGACGAACAATTAGCCCTCTTGCTCAGTTGTGATTAGGCCTGAGATAATACCTCAGATACTCCCACGACTCTTCTTTCAGCACTGGTAGCCAATCTTACACCTGAAAAATCGTATTTTCGCCACTCCCATACCTCGGCGGTATGGGCTGGCCCGCGATTGGGAATTCTCGATGCGAAGATATTCCCACCTTCCTTATCCCAGAGTATTATGTCCTTACTGTCTGCTGAGAATCCATGAGACAATACGGTATTTTCAGCCCCGTGAAGCACTATAGCTCGCTCTTTTGAGGTATCGGGTAGGGCTTCCCTTTCGGTCTTTGGGTCCGGAAACCATCTGGGTCTCCAACTCTTCTTCGATTTAACCTTCTGTATGCTCACTTCGGTGTTAGAGGATGCTGTTCCATCTGAAACACTGACGAATGATCGTCGTTTGGGCTCTCGTAGGGGTGGACTAGATGGTGCTTGAGATGAGAAAGTTGAAGGCGATGGAGGGAAGGACGCTTCTTCATTGTTGGGTATTGAATCGTGAGTTTTTCGTACTTGCTCCTCTATTAAATTTGAGATGCAGTGGATAGGTTCTATCTTTCGAGCAAACTTGAGGTATCTGGCGTCTTTACACTGTGGACACCGTACTGCTGATTGGAATTCAACGAATTTTGGCTCTTCCCCGATGGACTAAAGAAAGCCCTGTTAGCTTTATATTTGTATATTGTTTTGGTTTGGGCCAAGAAAAGAATATGATCACGGATTTCAGTTACCCTGTTCTCATCGCCACTCATCAAAGATTTCAGACAGAACCACGGTAAGATGTGTAGTTGCGGGCAATTCAAAATATAGGCGCAGGATACCTCTGTTCGAAAGTCTCGAAACTCATCGAGTCTTCCGATTCTTAGTGCATCATTGTATGACGAGTCAAGGTTGGCAAGATTCGAAGCCTCGTGATACCAACTTTTGAGAGCATCCTCTAGCTCAGAACCTAAGTGGGTGATCTCAGATGGCAGCAGGATCCTTGATTGCCGGCCCTCTAGGAAAAGCCCGAAGTCTTTGATGGATTGTCGAGTTGATCTGATCTTCTCAATCGCGATGAACTGTTAGCCCGTATCCTAGAGTGCCAGATTTGAACATAAAATACCTTCCAGCGATGGGATTGTGCATGCAGGTTGGCATCATCATCACACCATTCCAATGCAACTCTCTTCAAACAGAGTTCCGCTTCGTTTGTATCATCCAAATGTTCGCACAGTTGATTGACTTGGTAGTGGGAGATCTCGGCGCCTGTGCCCGACAGCGGTTGTATTGATGCCTCAAGAAACTCCGTTTCTGCTGCCCACAACAGGTCAAGCAATGCCCAAAAAGCCTCCTCGTTGCCTTTTCGTAGCTCTTTCAATTCTCGCAGAAAATTCTCGTTCGCCCTTTTCCGTAGATCACCAAACTGCGAACACTTAGCTATGACCTGGACTTTGAAACTGAGACGTACCTGTCCACCGCTGGAAAGCTTTCGTATCTGAACATTTTCAGCTCTGTAAACATTTTGTGAAATGTGTTCCAGCAGATAAATGCATTTTTGTAGAATGAATACCTCTAAAGTGTTACCTTTAGCATTCTGGGCCCAGCTGCTAACGCTTTCCTGAAGTTCATCGATATTAGCTATCGGAAAATCGGTTTCCCACAGCTCGAGTGCCCGCAGGCCTGACAACAAACCCCGAGCTGCGAAGCAACGCTGTTCAAGGCTTTCTGTGTCGCTACTACTAGTTTCCCCGTAATTCTCTGATCGAATCCGATCGAGATAGCGTATAGATGCGAAGAGTTCATGTGCTGGGATTAGATACGATTTCAAGATTTCGGAGGGGAAACGATCTTGCAAATAGGTGCGTTGGATGTCAAAGATGATCCTCAGGTGTACGAACAAATCAACAGTATGGCTCTGGATAGGTGCTGTGGGTTTCTCGAGTGCTGATAGAGCATAATGGGCTAGTATTTCATGAAGTATGTGAGTATTATCCGTTCGATGATGCAGGTACTTCCAGACTTGAGGCAGGCCCATGTGCGCCATGATCTTGCTCGATTACCTTCATTTAGCAGCTATCTCAGGATGTAAAATCTTCTCAGTCTTACGCTGGGATTGCGTCACATCGAATAGGTTGCCGCGTGCGGAAGGGTTGTTTATTGCAACGAGGTTGGGCTGACTTGGATCACATTACTCTACGCCATGCGTTCTAAGGCTGTGAATCGATAACTTCAAGCCCTACAGGCCTATACATACTGCACTGCCTGAGGCGCCCGCCGCGGATGGTTCTAGCTAGTAATCTACGCCACAGGCTTTGATCAAATTACTCTGCATCGTGCCACGCGCTCGCAGGCTACCATGGTCTGTCTGGCTTCAAGTAAGACTGCATGATAAGCATGAAAGAATAGACTTCGTGTCTGAAACCAATACATTTCAAATCTGCGGTCGTTTATATATATTCTTACTAGTCTTTTTTATGCAACTTTCTATCGTCTGAAGTCTTACCACTATAGATTCAGCTAGCATGGGAGCTGAAGTATGCGACAAATTGCTTACTGTACCTAGCCTAGTACTCACCTGATATTGCGCCTAGATATCTTTAGTGAAAGTGTATTGGTGTGTTTGTGTGTTAACTTTCGCGCCTCACTTTTCAAATGAACCTAGCGTACTCCGTAAGTTGTGTTGCTCCTGCATGCAGGTGAAATGGGACACCGAGCCTTGCATTCCAAATGGTTGCAACCACTACAGTACCTGAGTATAGTGCCAATATTAGCCCAACGCTTCCCGAGGTAACATTTGCTGATAACGCCTTGAAGGTACAGCAAATGGCTTGCCGACTCTTACCAGTTTGAGTGCTATACGTCCAGTGACCCTGGGGTCTTTAGCGATGTAATATGAACATCGCTATCGGCTCGGTCTGGATCATGTCAGACACTCTATAGAGGCCGATAGGGCAGTGCAGTATAGGGAGTTTGGTCACTAGTAAAGGCACTGTTTCAGTAACACGTTTTGTAAGACTATAACTTCCAGTGGTTTCCGGCAGGTAAATGAAGTTGAAGAAGGTAATGTACAAATATCTACATCTGGTAGCTCCAAGATCAGGCTAGAAGGAATGCTGCTGAATAACTATTTCAGCCAAGCCCATATCCATTTCAAAACAGGGAGGGAATTTTCTCGGGCGAACAGCGTGGTGTTATTCGCCAACCGCAAACTTCCAACTCTATCTTCAAGTAACACTACTTCGGGAGGTGGCTGTAGCAGCTCGTGAGAATTTTTAAATCTCCATCCTTTTGGGTTCCAGCCATCGAGCTTCACATGATATGCTACAACAATGAAACAGAACACCGGTATCTAGAATTGGATATTAGTCTAATGACCTCGAGCATTGGAAAAATACAAGGCTCAGTACTCACACTAATGTAGGAGGCAACAAAGTCTGCTGCGCTGAAAGGTGTGACAAATGATCTCCAGCCGTTAAAAAACGCTAGTAAGCAACAGCCCAGAATTCCATAACAAGCTTTCAACCATTGGCCTCTGGATTTGTAAGGATAATGTCTGTTTTGTCGATTATACGCTGAGAGGTCTTGAGCTGTATGATTAAGACTCTGGATCTGTCCGGTAGCTGCTTTCTCGATGCTAAATTTGGTTAGATCTGATAGCCGCTAATGAGGAGGGCTTTGGCTTACCAAATATAAAATCGCAGGTACGTAACGCAAATGATAGCATAGACGATCATCATGGATACAACAGAGTTGGTAGCTAGTCTTCCTAGTTGCTACAAGCAGTGAGTATTTGGACAAGTAGGAGTCAGTTGCAGATTCAACTTACAATAGTTGGCTTTTTCTTCGTGGAGAGAAAGGCTAATAGGCCGAACAGCCAGCTGACAAAAACCGCCCCACGGGGTACACCCCAGGTAGTCCTCTCAAGTCTGGCTCGTATACCCTGGAATATACTATTTTCTGGCCATACTTCTCGAATACTCGCTAGGGCGTGGAGTATTCGAGATGAGAGATATAGAGAGTTTATCCCAGAAGTAGTGGCGCAGAAGATGAAGAATCCACAGAAAAAATTGGGCCAGCCATGGAGATTGTTTCGGACAGCAGCTAAAATATATATCGAGTTCTGACCCTGTCCAAATGAGTTGAGAGCAATTTGCCTCAAGTTTGGATCAGTATATGGGACGTTGAAACCAACTACTAAGACGCAGAGAGTATATAGAGTAAATACTCTAATACAGATCTTGCGCGTTCCCATCTTAATGGCTTCAGTCGATCTTAAAGGAGCACATTCGGCAGCAGTGATTGACACTGTTTCGAAACCGATCATCGAAAATACAATGGTAGTCATAGCGGTCCACATCGCCAAGAAGATTCCGGCATCGCCTTTCACAACAACGGAGTCATTTCCCTGACTGTCAACTCGAATAGTGATGTTCTTCGAACTGAAGCTGTAAGGATCGTCATAGGTCCAGGTTGTTCCGTTTGCATGAGGAACTCGTTGCAATGTAGTAACAATAACGTTGAATAGAATTAAGCCGGACAAGAAAAACATCTTGATACAGCCAAAAATATACTCAAGTCGTCCATACCACAGGACTGGCAGACTATTTCAACGAGTTAGCATATTCAAAGCTCAAGATCGGTTTAGAAAGAGCCGAAGAGCCCAGGAGCTGTCTCAGCTCGCTCGCCCTACCACCAAAGCCTCGGTAATATTATCAAGGAATAAGCATACCAATTGACCAGGAAAATAATGATTAGCCAAATTAACACCCAAACTGCTGAGCTCGTGTCTAATTACGAAGCACATAAGGTCAGTAAAATCTCCTTGAGCAAATGTGAAGTAAATAAGAGGAGCCGATATGGGATGAGAGCGGAAACAATCACTCACCCACCCCCACTTGAAACCCCAGAGAAGAGCGTCCACTAGGGTCTTTATAACCAACCAAGTCGAGATAGTCCTGTGTGAATTGAAACTTCCAAAGCTCTGCTACAGCCAGCACTTCGGTTGCAAGTATGACCACCCAGGAAAACCTGACAATAGATTAGTTCGAGATCTGAAAGGAAATCCTGCTTGAAGCAAATACCAAGTCATCCAACCAACAGCATACCCGACTCCCTCATCTAGAAACCTAGTAGGGAAAACGAAGATCCCGCCTTGGATTGGAAAAAGTGCCGTCATTTCCCCAAGTGAACTCATCACCGACCATATTATGGATCCGGAAAGAAGGTACGCGACCACTGCAAGCCCGGGTCCCGCGAGAAAAACCACTTTTCCTGATTGCAAAAATAGACCTGTACCAATACACGCCGAGAAGGCAATCATATTGACATGGCGTTCTTTGAGCACCTTTCTGAACAACAGTATTAGCGTTTTCGGAGTTGAGATCAAAGAAAGACGTACTTGAGCTCTGTTTCAGGAAGCTCGTCGTTATAATCTGGCCCTGCATTACGCTGTGGAGAAACATCTGGTGGTGTAGGAGGAGGCCGGGGATCATTGCGATGTTTCTGAGTAAGCTCGATTGCCTGATTCATCTTGAAAGTTCTTGTATTGAAGATTTTTATTTTTAATTTGCTAGGCAAATCGATGTTTGGCGAGGAGAAATGAAGAATAGGAACTTTTGCATCCTCCTGTCTGATGAAGCACAAACAGATATGGGGAGAAGTTTCGTAAGGCTCTCAGGACCACTACGTTGGAACTGGGTACAGGGGGGGGGCTAGGCTCTCTCATGCAAGGCTGGCGGTTGTCAGCCAGCCCCTTGTGATAGTGAGACTGACAAGTGAGACATGGTTACCTTTAGCTGAACAGTCTCTACCACTTCATGTGCCAATTGCCTTAGGGAGCCTGCAGCATAAGACGCCCAGCATTTTTGGGCGTTATATCTGTAAAAGTAAGCGATGTGGTGGTACGATATTGATTGCGCCCCCTCCAGACCCCCCAAAACATGCATAATTTCACCAACAGCAAGTAACGATATCGCTCATCCCAATAAACTTTCATATTTCCAAGGAAAATAACGGTCAACGTCCTTCCTCGGGCACTGAAAGCTCGTAAGTGACAACCAATGAACCCACTCGGTCTGGGACCTGATAAATCCATGTCGATTCTTTTATACACCCACATCCATCATTCCTTCTACCACAAATAACTTCCCGTCCCTATTATATATACCTACTGTTCTTCTTACAAGATACACACGCAATGGTAGGTACTCCCAAGCAAATCCAGCAATGCCACTAACGCAGGTCCATGCACCCAGGAAATCCCAAGCCATTCCACTTGTTGTCTCTGCAAGGATACCAATGTCAAGATCCACGATCTCCGGCAATGTACGATTTGTGGAATAGGAAGTAAGAAACGTCGATGCATACGCAACTGCCGTTTCTGCCGTACCTCAGATTTCAGCAAGCCGTGTCGAGAGGGTAAGCAGCACGCCACTTGCTGGGATCGCCATCTTCCCCTAGAAGAAGACTCGGAAGGGCCTCACTTGCCAGTAGATCCCCTACGACAACTCTACGTAGAAGCTGTCACGTACTCGGAGCCAGACGCCAGAGCGGAAGCGAAATTGCACGAGCAAGACCGGGTTTCGCAATGGTTTACAATCAAAAGAGCAGAGGGCGGAACCCCATGGTTGAAAGTCTCCGACAGGTTTCGCCAACTATGTAACCCCGGGATCTTACCCAACGAGTACAGCTCGAGCCAATTTCCTGGGTTTGTTTCCTTCATCGGGGATACAGGGATAGGCAAATCAACACTTGTGAGAGCGATGATATTGATGGGGGAGGTGGACCCTTCTGGGACAGAATACAAAGTTGGAGAAGCTCAGCTGGAAGACAAAATCAATGGACTACGGCGAACGTTGAAACAAAAAGCATATGGGCCAGTGTCACGATCAGCTAGTCTTTCTCAGATGACTGACCCAACAAGCTTCGGAGTACATTTATATCGAGACGTTGCTGTTTCCGTTTCTTCCCAGACAGCTAGCAACCGGTATCCTCGCGATACACCAATTCTATTTGCCGACTGCGAAGGCTTTAAAGCCGGATTTGCAACTGCTAATGCGGAGCGGATAGACGAAAGAAGTGGTCGAGCTAGCTTGCTTTTGGATTCGCCCATTACAGCTCAAAGTTATGGGAAAGATGGCAAAGACGGCGTGGACCTGTTCTATGCCAGGTTTCTGTACACAGTTAGCGACGTCGTGGTCTTGGTTATGAGAGACGACACAGAGTTTCTTCCAACTATGCAGAGGCTGCTTGAGTGGGCCGCCTCTGCTGTTTACCGTTCTGTCAACCACTTAGCTCAAAAAACCCTACTAATCGTGCGTAACATGGCCCATTTCCATCACGAGGGTTTTTATGACCCGAAGATTCTCTGGGAAAGCCTTTTCGGCAACTTGAGTGACCTTTGGGAAGATTCTACTCTTCTGCAGAAATTTAGAAACGATTTCAATAGGAAGCAAACTATGAGTGGCCACAAGATTCATACCAACGATGATCTCTTTGCGAAGTTTTTCTCGGAGGTGCGAGTCTGTAATATCCCTGACACTGGAAAGGCACCGGTATATGAGGTTTATGACCAGTATCAATATTTGCGACACCAGATTGTCGCTGCATCACAGAGAAGTCAAGAACTCAGATCGCGAAACTGGCAGCAGTACAATGTTCCAATGCTTTCGCACATTCTGACCCGTGCATTCGAGCATTTTCGAACCTCGGATGGGCCCTTTGATTTCTACCAGGCTGCTCGCAGTGATAACCCGAATCCAGTTTCGGTATCAGACCATATATGCAACTTTATACGACATATACATGCCACGAGCGAATTTCCTCGAGCTGGGCTTCCAAAGATCATTGGCGCCAGCCTCATAGTTTGGGCACTGAGACATTTTGGAACAGGTAATGAACTATTCTTGGAACTGACTATTTTTGCTGACAACTTTCTAGTGCTGCACGAACCTAACGAAATCTTCAGTCGAGACCTTGAATCTTGGTGCAAGGAGGGAATCCAGAAATATAAAGAGAAAGATCAAAAATGCGAATTTCGCTTCAAAGTTTCAGGTGGCGGATCATGTATCAAAAGAAGAGCAGCACACGACTACGAACATTGTGATGAACTTGGGAACAGAGCTCCAGGTGGCTTCGGAGAAACACAGAAAATTGGGTATCAAATGCTTCTAGAGATTCGCCAGTTCTTTGTTCACCAGTATGGTGAACTCTGTACGAATTCACAGGGCGGGTTTATCACACCAAAGCCTGACGAGGTGCGGCGGGTACGAGAAAATGTTTTACTGGAATACAAGCAGCATTGGAAGAGTATTTTTAGCAACAAAACATGTTTGACATGTCTTCAGGCAGTTCCTGACCACATGCTTTCGTGCGGGCATTGCTTATGTGTCAAGTGCATCCAAGAACTAGGAAAACCCAGCGCCTACTATGAGTACGGCTGGGTTGTTGATAGCTGTATCCTTTGCCGAACATCCTGGCAAGATAGCGGACGGCTTTTCCGCTTACAGCCCACGTGCGCCGGTGTTAGGGCTCTTACTTTGGACGGCGGAGGTATTCGAGGTATTGTCGAGCTTGCTTTGCTTGAACATCTCGACGCTGCAATTGACCTAGACCTCCCGCTTCAAGAATGCTTCGATATTATCGTTGGTACAAGCACCGGTGGAATTATTGCACTAGGACTTGCGATTCTTCCGAATGATGAATCGAGTCAAAAGGATCGCTCGATTGGGGCTCTGAAGGGTGAATTCCTCGACCTAGCAACAGAAACGTTTAAAACAGGAAAGGGAGGGCCCTTAGTCGCAGCGTTAGACCCCTTCAAACTAACGTCTAAGGCTTTTATGGCATTGCGGATTTGGGAGAGCAAATATGCGACAAGACCGTTAAAAGACGGGCTCCAACGTATCTTTGGGCCCGGCAATAATCTGTTCTCGGCACGAAATCGGGGAGCCAGAGTAGCTGTAACTTCAGCGAAAGACAACGGTGCTGATAGGTGTTTGATAGCCAACTATAACAGGCCAACGGCCAACGACGATCTGGATTTCGAACGCGAAGACGAAAACAGTAACGAGATGAAGATCTGGGAGGCAGGATTGGCTACAGCAGCTGCTCCTTTCTATTTCAAAAAGTTTGAAAAGGCTGAAACCAAGAAAAACTACTACGATGGTGCCCTCCACGCCAATTTTCCAGTCCAGTACACCTTAGAAGAAATAGCGAGAGTATGGCAGACCCCTGATGGGAGGAATCCCCCATTAGATATACTGCTGAGTGTGGGGACCGGAAGACAGGAGCGAGAGATTAAGATTCCTTCGATGCTCAAGATCGGAGGCTTTGAAGCCGTGGTTACATCCTTCCACAACAATCTCGACTGCCAACGTAAGTGGCTGGATTTCCAAGCTCTACATATGAAAGACAGATATCTGCAGAGAAAGGTACATAGACTGAATGCCGTCATCGAGGGAAGCTACGTTGCGTTGGATCACTACAAGCGTATGAAAGATATAGACAAAGACATTGCAGCGCAAGTTAGAGACCCCGTCTTTGCATCAGAGATAAATGCACTCGCAAACATCCTGACCGCAAGTCTGCTCTTCTTCGAACCGACCAAAAGTTCTCCCTCCGCAATTCCATCAAGAGACCGAGCCTATCTCCCGGGATCTATCAGATGTCGACTTGCAAGGGATTCTCCCCCGCTCAGAACTCTGGTCGACCTTATTGATAGCTTTTGGTATAAAGAAATCAAGAATGATGAAGACCTGATGGAATCAGGTTACTGGACAAAAGTACCCTTACTGGACCAGCTCCGGTATAAGGTTAGGAATCACAAAGAATGGCTTCGTGTTCCTTACACTATCAGCACTATTGAGAGCCGTGGCGCCCAACAGGTTCTTGCCGTTACACTTCGACGCTCATCTCCTTCAATGAAGTCTCTTGCGGCACAGGTACCAATTCCCATCAGTGGGTTTCCGGCGAGCTTCGAAAGCATGGAGAGAAAGGCGAGAGCGCTTTAAGGAATTAAACTGCGCGGGAACAATGTACTAAGAAATCATGTCTATCTTCAGGTAGAGCATTGTACCAATTGAAAAGAGGAACATTCAGCGGCAATCTGAAGCAGGATCTGAAGAACGCCTTCTGATCTCAAACTCGAAACTGCATCCTGCCGAGGAACCAACACGACCCTAAGATGTCGCAGAGATGTCGAACATTATAACGACGTATGGGGCCCCATAATAGATAGGTAGTTCTATTATAGGGCACCTTTCTGTATTCGAGTATTTCAGGTGCAGCAACAAACCCGAAGGGAAGCAGAGGTTGAATCTTACTGAGTGCGGAAATGGAGGGTGCAGCATAAGCTTTCGAAATATGTGTAGTTGTACGATGAAAGCGCGGTTTGTAGGAAATATTGCAAAGGCCGTCATTTCTTCGTCGTTTCAACATGAGCACAGCATGAGGAAGGATACTTTGAAGTCGGAAAGGGGCAGAAGGGTGCTGGTGAATCTATCTGCAAGTAGGTGAATATGCTTGGCTTTGACTTTGGGAGGAAGCTGCGAACCACTTGGGCAGGATACCTGCTGTATACAAGATACGCTGGGGTTGAATGAGGGCAATGGACGGACGCTATTCGCAAACCTACAGAAAGATAATGTATCGATAGAAAGAAATTCAAAGCAACTATGCTGAGAACTCGCACTAATTCCAGCACCTGACACCCCGTATGACATTCCACTCCCCTCCACCACCAGGCGAGCCTCCCCGCGTCATGGAGATAGACAATACGAATCCAAGTTTCAGTCATAACGGATCAATAAATATATCCTCATCCCCTCCCTCCCTCACACCCTCATTCCTCAGAAACTCCCCGAGCCAAGACCGCCAAAGGCGTCCGCGTGCAACGACGGATCACCCGGACGCCAGCCTTGTGATACAGTACGGCAGCGCAAAAACGTGGTAGGGCGCGGGCGTACAACGGATGAATGACCGGATTCTCGGTTTCGTTTCGTGCGGAGTAGGAGTAAGGGGATGTGTACTGTAACGCCTTGGTGGATGAGTGGGAATGTACTGTAGATGTTGTTGGATGGTTGATTGGTAAGGTGCCTTGGGTAGTGGGGTGGGGGTTGCGTTTAGGGGGGGAAATGGAATGTGGGGTTGTGAGACTTTTCACATGCATGCCTGCCATTCGATCAGAGTCATCTGACAGGTGACCTATAGCTAAAGAGACACAGTAGATAATGCAAGTAGTGTGTTCCAGATCTCTTTGAAATATGCGCTAGAAATAGAAATAGTTTTAGAAGTATACTACACTATGTACAGTATCGGGAGTTAAGCTTATGGCTCGGTCCTTGCTCCAGCCGAATCCGCTGGCGTCCAGTGGATGGAGAGAGCAGAGATATTTGGATAGCCGCGCGAGACGGGGACGGGCTGGGAAGGAAGGTGGCATTTGAAACCGCAATGCTCAGAATACGCACTCTGTCTCCCTCTCCTCTCCGATTCCGAGTCCCCCCCTCTTTCTAGCTCCTGACTGAGGGGAGCTGTGATGGCCTTTAATCAGGCAATGTCTTCGGCGATCTGCGATGGAGATATGAGGCACAACACCCCTCAATGGATGAAGAGTCCGGCCAGGCGGATGCGTGATCATCGTAGGACGTCATGCTTACATTGATACAGTACTGTATCTAGATCAGGAGCTGCATGTTTTGCATGAAGAGTATTGAGAGAAGAGGTGATAAGAGAATTGTCCTCGAGACGCAGACCATGTCGAGTACCTTTAATTTGCTGAAGATATTCAGAGGTCACGAAACACCATCAATGCCGCCTTTCTTATTACTCGTAGCTCTGGTGTAGGAACCTTTGGAACTGGCTTTCGTCGGCATTTTCTTTGCCTTTTTCCCATTCATCCATTCATACACCAACAGCTTCCTTTCTCAGCCTATCAACAGGACGAATTGTGTGCTTATACCTTTGTTTAAACGCGGGAAGCGCACCACGAAAGGCGCAATAGGACGAGGAACCGCACGCCAAATTGAAGATTCGCTGTTCCAGCTTTGCATGCTATTGGTGCACCGTTCTAGAGTAGCACAACACAGCACACACGAAAACAAAACAGAAGTTCAACGTTCTTGTTCGTTGAGGCCATTCAAGATATACATCTATATATATATCTATATATATATATCTATATATATATATCTATATCGATATTGGCAATATTACCCATTTCGATCCAAGGAAGGCCTTATTAGAGGCTTATCTAAGGGCCCTTTTCCCTTTGTAGCTTGCCTTGCCTTGGTGACCCTTATCGCCCATAGCCCGTGTGGTTAGCGTGGTGAGGGGACTCGGCGGTGAATTAAATCGACCAGGAAGGAGGACATCGAGTCGAGTCGAGTCGAGTCGAGTCGAGTCTGAGCGTCGACAAAGCTTCCTTCGCCTTGTTAACTGACATTCACAACCCCGATAGTACAACAGTATTATTCATTCGCTTGGCTATAATCTATTCATACCTCTATTTTCGACGAGTGAGGCAAACTGTCCGCCTTGCCATCGACCCGGCATTCGCCTGCAACCCTCACCATTTTAAATCGAGCTCGCCATCTGCAAATACTTCTTCACGCGAGCACCTCTTACAAACCCCCACCTCGACGCGGGGTCGCGAATTCAAAGTACCTCACCTCACTTCACCTCACCTCGGCCATCTTCGCATCCGGGAAACAGCTTTTTATCTCTTTGCAACCAGCAGACAATGATAAGTCAAGCTCCGAGAATGCCTTCAGAATACCGACACATGAGCACTGGCTCTTTGAATATTCCCCCGCCTACTGCGCCTAACGGCAACAGCAACGGCAACAGCAACGGCAACGGCAACGGTAACGGACAACCACCAGCTGGCGGCATGGGGAGATTCGAAGGCCCTCGTAGTCCTCCTAATCGACAGAGTCAGTACTGTCGTGTACCTTGCGAGCACATCTATATACTGACAATTTCTAGACACCTCCCACGTACCCTGCAAATTCTTCCGGCAAGGCGCCTGCCAGGCTGGATCAGCTTGCCCATTTTCTCACGATTTAGCAAGTACAACCGATACTGTCTGCAAGTATTTTGCAAAGGTGAGTCACTCGTTGTATTATGTTTTGCAGGTGAAAATCCTAACTATAGCAGGGTAATTGCAAATTTGGTCCCAAGTGTGCAAATGCACATATCCTCCCCAACGGCCTACGAGTCAACTACAAACAAGGAGGCCCGATGGGTGCAGGACATTTGAATCTTGGAGGACGATTGAACACTGATCTATACCATCCGCCCAACTCTGGATCTGCCCTCACGAACTCTTTCAATCGTGCCAACGGAGCACCCGCCTCTCCATATTCACAACAACAATACTCTCCATTCACCAATCAAGATGAAGCTTACCCACGCCATCAGAGCATTGATATTACCGTTCCTGCGAATGTTCCGACCATCGATACTAGTTTCGCTTCTCATCCAGGTTCCGCTTATGGTTCTCCACGGGAGGAAGAGTTGTCTCGATTTGGTTCCGCTTTCTCCCCGGTCGCCGGAAAAGGTCTCAGTGTCTTAGATGCCCCTCTTCCAGCTTCGTTTGACAGCAATGGCGTGTCTTGGATCGCTAGGCACGGTCCGGTCGCTTCCTCTGTTCCATCCAAATTCGGTCTTGACTCTCCACCTGGATCGGTTGGAGCTGCAAAGGATAACCGTACTTCAGAGGCGTTGAAGAGCTTGCATAGTTCTGCTTTTGGTGAAGATACTCGAGATCGATTCAACGGGATTGCCGCCTCGCCACCTACACAGCCTGCCGAGGAATATTTTGGGAAGAGGGTTATGCATTCTCAACGATTCGCAACAAAGTCGAAGAACATTTCAGCCAGTCTCCCAAAGGTTGATCAAGACTGGCTATCCGATTTCGGTTTTGAGGAAGATCTTCTTCCAGAATCATTGAAGGATCTCATGACCCCTCAAGAGAAAGCCCGTAGAGGATCTCGGACATACGCAGATGAGGACGGACGACCATTTACTGTTAACAGTGGTACAGGCACACCAAATGACACCCCAACTAAATTTGGCTCGCCATCTGGCGCTAGTCCTTCAAGATGGAGCCCCCTCTGGCAGAAACAAGAGGATGAGAAGACTCGTGCTGCCCTTTTGGGTCATGTCGGCTCGCCACTTCGGAATTCCTCCCTTTATCCAGGTGCTAGCCCAAGCTCTCGACCAATTGCTAGACCTAGTAACTCTGGTGATTCTTCGCCCTTCCTCGCCTCTCCACCACGCCAAAGCTCTATGTCTATTATATCCCAGCAGCTACAACGTACTCGTCTTTCACGAGCAGAGTCCAATGGTAGCGATTCCGGCCTTCATCCACCACGTACAATCAGCAACCCTATTGGCTCAGGCTCCAGCCGCACTGGGTTGATAGGAGAACGACAAGTCAGCTCCAGTAGTATTGGAAATGGGGGCAGTGGTAGATTTACCACTCCTATTGATGAGGAGCAAGGCGATTTCGTCTTCAGTATGGAGGGTATGGAGGACGTCGACGAGAAGAAGGGCGAGAAGAGAAACAGTGGTGGTTGGACATTTGCCGGTGGCACACAAAGCCCACACTTGGGTGCTATTGGTGGTACTCCACGAAATGGTGCAACCAATGGGGGCAGCGTTGGTGGGGTTGAAGGCATGTTTGGTAGTCGATAGGCTCTCAAACTTTGAATGCCACTCCGTTACTCGGGGGGCACAGCCACTGATCTTCCAAACTCACGAGCTTGTTTACAAGGTCAAATTACGACAACACACCACCACTATGCCATTCCGCCGGTGCCAATAAGATACTCTCCTTGATCAATCAAGTTGGGACTTGTTCACTGTATTATACGCCTTTAGATACATACCCTTCGTGCCACAGATCCACGAGGCCGCTTGTATCCTCCGCTAGTGACTTGCACTGTACTCTCTATCATGAGAGTACTGTACACATAGTATCATCAAGCTATAACATGGTGCAAAGTCGATTCCGATATCTACATTTTGAATCCGCAGACTACAGCATAGCATAGCACAATACCCCTTGTACCATAGTCTTTCACAGAACAATACCAGCGCGAAGTACCGAATATCCAAAGACAGGAAACAAAGTAAACATATCTTGGGCGTTTTTGGGTTGGGAGTCTGCTTTGGGGATACGGGATGGATGGGATGGGATATGGGTGTCTTATATGCATAAATACAAGGACTTAGAATGCCAGCTACCTTTATAAGGAATGAGAAATGAAATGGGAAAGAAGTATTTGGAAATGGACAGTGTCCTAGTGATTGCTATAATTCTCGCTTGCTTTTCTACTTGAAAATGTATACTTGAATCTAACCTGACTTTTCGAGTATGTTTCAGTCTATATGAAATCAAGCCGCAAGTTGGGCGCGATGTTCTTATGTTTTCTTCACTTCCCTTTCTAATTTCCTAATATCATCCTGAATTGCTGTCTTTAAACTTAAATACTAGTACCTCGCCTCGCCTTGCTTTGCATTTGGAAGCCAAGCAGAGTAGCCGATGGATTATTACGTATATATGATTGATGGAATTTTATATGTCTTTGGTAGTTAAGGAGGTCGATCTGAGCTTCCTTTTCGAGGCGCATGAGAAGGAGTAAGACTGTCGTCAACAAGATGATGAATGGCGGGCGGACTTCTTAGCTCGCGTACGTGATGTATATGGTTGTTTTTCGGGGAACAGATCTTGAACTGACTGCTGTTCTACAGTGGGAAGTACGCTATATATAGGGCTTTCAAGCCCGTAGTATGCCGTAAGTAGCCGCTGTAGCCACCAGGCTTCTATTACTTATCTCCCTCCCCCTTAATAAATGTTAATGATCCTTCGCCCCACCGCGTAAATACGGATGGGGGATTCAGCAGATAATATCACGACGTCTAGGGCCTAGTAGGACTTTACGAGGACCCTTCACGGGCCACTGCAAGGGCTCTAGCTATGCTATTCAGTTCCATAGGACTGTATATATCATGGGGAGTTTACGTGATTTGACATTTATTAAGGGGGGGATAGTATGGCTACGCATCACCGCTTCGGGGCTCCCGATCACTATGCATTTGCCACTTCCAAGGCTACAGCATATATACTGGCACCGATACCGGAGGGGTTTCTAAGGCGCATTTGGAACATATACTATACGTAGCTGGGGATATTTATATATCAAGACGTTCTTTTTCTTCTGATACCTATTACATATACATTGCGGACTTAATTGTTGCTAGGTGCAAACCAACTACCTACCTTCCTTCCTTCCTTGACTCGTTGAAAATCACGTTTTTATTCGTGATCAAAGATTCAGAGATGCAGCAGCAAGAGCAGAAGATAATTGTAGTTATTGGGTATGTTGTAATTAATATATATGTTCTAGTACCCATCCTATCCTATTTTATTATATGTATCTTATAATTAGTAATCACCAACTTGTCTGTCTGACCGTCTGACATATTTCTCCGTACCTCAGGGCTGGAGTAGCAGGTCTCACAACCGCATTGCTACTGTCCAAGAACCCGCGCTATAGCATTACGGTGGCTGCGAAGCATATGCCGGGGGATTATGATATCGAGTATGCGTCGCCTTGGGCGGGCGCTGATTATTTGCCGTGAGTTTGGGACTATGTTCCATATATCATATCATGTCATATCACTACTTGAATTTTTTATGAGAAAGGGGGTTTTGGCTGATCGATGAGTATTATGGTATACAGGACGTCGGAACCAAACACAGATGCAGCGGAATGGGATCGGATCACCTGGTATCACCTGGCAGACCTAGCGCAGAATCATCCAGAGGCTGGGATTCATTTCCAGAGTATGTTTGTTTTGCTTCTCCTCTTTAACTTAAACTCAACTACTCTTGCATATGTGTATGTGTATATGCTGAGGGTCCTCTGTTCTAACTCCAACTAGCATGTAAAACGTACACCAGAACCAAAGACGTCGATTCTGGGACCCCAAAATTTCCAAAGGATCCTTGGTGGAGGGATACGCTGCCTGATGTACGTTGTCTCTCATCCAATATAAACACATAAACACATCTATATATGTCATACCTACTTAATGAAAACCAAACACAGTATAAAGAAATCCCCACCTCCCACCTCCCACCTGGTATATCAAGCGGCCACTCCTTCACCTCGCTCACAATAAACACCGCCATCTACCTCCCGTACCTCGTCTCCCGCCTCCTCGCCTCCCACGTAGTCCTCACCCGAGCCGTCTTCACGCATATCACCGATGCCGCGTCCGCTCACTGCACCACTTCCCCTTCCCCCTCCCCACCCAGCCAGGCAGACATGCTCATCAACTGCACGGGCCTCTCCTCGCTCACCCTCCGTG